CCATTTCTAAAAAAAAAAAAAAATGTCAGTACAGTTCCTGTACTTATACATATAACACCTATACAGTATTTCCTTTGAAATTTCTATTTTTATTCAGAAATATTAATTATTGCTATCCACAAATATTGACAGTAAAAAGAAACTTGGATAATAATAAAAACAGTATTTTAATCCTAAATTTATGATATCTGTAAACTCTGCCTTCTACCTTAGGTCAGACATGTTACTCCTATCCCAGAACCATAACAGGAAAAAAACAAAAGCAGAGAAGCAAAGCATTCTTCGTGGAGAAGGAAGCAAAGGTATGTAGTAGAAAGAACACAGAGGATTTACACACAGAGTTTTAAATCTTAACTTGAATATTTCCTAGTTTTTAGGTCTTAGGCAGTTAATGACTCGGCTCTAAAATAGGAATAAAATAACCTACACCTCATACAGTTTTTAAAAATATGGGTAATTGTTCATTTATAAAATGCACGCAGAACAGCTACTATATGCTCAGTTATTATTAGGAAACTCCATGGAAGATTTACAAAATTTCCTGAACAAATTCAGTAACTACTGATTTCATTGAGGTATCAATACTTTTATCAGTGATTGTATTATAGGAACCCTATTACTAACAACACACCTCAACAAATAAAGTAATAATTCTTCCATTTTTAGATACACTGTCATAAGTGTGTAATAGTATCACCAATACTGTCTATATTTCTTTAGAAAGCTAAAAAATAGGATCTCATGTTATTCAGAATTACAGTAATAAATGTACTAAAGAGAATATTGTGACTCAGAGATTAACTCAATATTTTCAGTTTTGAATTAATGATTATTTCTTCAAAATTAAATGACCAACAGACCAAAAATAATAATTATGTTAATACTAGAAACCAAGATTTTCACAGTAAGATATAAAAGATACAGGAATTACAAAAGCAATCAAGACTTATGGTAGCAGTGTTAGAAAACAAATACCTACCAAGACCATCTTCAACTCCATCATAAAGCTCATTAGATCAGGAGAGTGCTTCATTCTCTAGATCAAGATTACATTTTCAATTAATTTCACTTGTACAATGAATATCCCATTCACTGAAACTAAAATACATGTTTATGTGAATGTGAATAAATATTAATTATATTTACATCATAAAAGTATAAGAATTGAAGTATTAGTCAACGTCCTTACTATTCCTACGAATTTCATTTTGAAAGAGTAAATCAGAGCTTAAAATCTACTCTGGTGAGATATACTGAACTGAGTAGAATGTCACCTAAAACCTCACACACTCTTCTCTTCCTTTAATACTGATTACTGACAAGTTTAACAAATCTAGCAAACCACATCATTATTTTTTAAGGGAGTGAAGAAAGTGGAAATAAGCACATAAAATATAAAAATCATGCAAATCTATACAACTAAAAAAATCTAGTTAGAGCAATTAATTAAATTATAATACTGTCTATTTTTATTTTTATTAACCTTAAAGATTACCTATAATTATTATTTTTATCCTTTCACAATTAACCCATACAGTGGGGCCTTGACTTACGAGTTTAATTCGTTCGGAGACCGAGATCGTTAAGGAGCTCGTTAACTCAAATTACTCTATCAACTCAATGCAAAAAATCGGTCCAGAGACAGCTGGTATCTCAAAAAACTCGTTAGTCGGGACACTCGTAAGTCAAGGCCCCACTGTATTAATTCAAAAGGAGTCAATCTTTCAATAAGATAAAACTAATATAACAAAATGGCAAAAGTAAAAGTAAAACTTCAAAAGTAGAATGAGTATTTAAGAATCACTATTCCATTTCTTAGAAATCATTCTTAAAATAAATTATACAATAAAAGAAAGCAAAAAAATAATTTAAAATTGTTTTCTTAAAGTTCTTTATCATTTCTCTGCTTGAATTCAAAATATCGTATTTTTGCTACTTTTTGTGATGAACTGCACTACAGTCACACAGTTCTAGACAAAGTCAATATATGAATTTGTTCACTCTCTTTCGAGACAAAAATAATAATCTAAGATACTTTAGCAATGTATGAGACATAAGATTCACATTTTAACATAACTTTGAGTGGGTTCATGTTTTAGAACAAATCTTTGATTTTCCCTTCTTCTATACAATATCTTTCCTTTCCTCCCCACGCCCCACCCCCAATTTAGTAGAAATGAGTAATAAGTTATATGCATGGTCTACAAACTACAGTCCAAAGGTTAAATCCAGCCAACGCATGCTTTCGTAAATAAATCTGTACTGAAATGCAGCTAAGCCATTCCTTTACCTCTTGTCATGGCTGCTTTGCGCTAAAGGGCATAGTTGAGTGGCTGTAACAGAGAACTTACCGTCCACAAAACCTGAAAAATTTACTATCTGGTCCTTCACTGAAAAAGACTGCTGACCCCCTGATCCATATTTACTAGTTAAAAATGATACAAAGAGCCCTACCCAGTTTGGCTTAGTGGATAGAGCGTCGGCCTGTGAACTGAAGGGTCCCAGTTTCGATGCCGGTCAAGGGCACATGCCTGGGTTGCACACTCAATCCCCAGTAGGGGGCATGTAGGAGGCAGCCGATCAATAATTCTCTCTCATCATTGATGTTTCTCTCTCTCTCTCTCTCCCTCTTCCTTCCTCTCTGAACTCAATAAAAAAATGATACAAAGAAAGAATATTGATATTCATCTGGACTTGGAATCAAACAAGACTCAACTAATATTGGGCTCTACATAACCCAACTGGAGGCAGAAAGGAGATTAAGTAATTGGGACTTTTTCTAGGAACCCTCTTGGTGAATTGGTAAAGAAAAAAAGAGATCTTATTATTATACTTAGTCTTTATTAACAAGATTTTTAGGCTTTTTAAATATCTCAATAGGTTCACTTCTTAAACTTTAATATATAATATAAATAGTCACAGGGGATAGGGAGGGAGCAATGGGAAAAAAAAACAGAAGAAATGATTTAAGCATCCCCTTGAAAAACTGCTGTAATTATACTGCCAGCAATTACAGCCTACATTCTACAAATCAAATAGTTTCTCTCCTATTATTCTTTTTGGTTCAGTAATGCTTTATGTGAGAGTTTCTGTCATTGTCAGTTATCATAGATAATAACCTGCCTTTTAGATAGAGAAAATATAAGAGGGAAAAGCATAAAATTAAATGCATTTCTACTTAATTTATTTTTCTACAAGAGGCATTTCATTATTTTCCTTTGCTTTAGTAACAGTGATTTTGTTTTAAAGTTTCTTTACTCTTTAATGGAATTTTCAGGTACAGTAACCTAAACATTAAGAATAACTAAACCAGGGTACAGAGGGTGGGCAAAATGGGTGAAGGTGATCAAAAGGTACAAACTTCCAGTTACTACTATACAATAATTTTAAAAAGAATAACTAAATTAATCCTGCCTATATCTCACTAATGTGGCCTTTAGAGCTACTCCTATTATGTCCACATACATGATCCTAAGTGATTTCCACACCTTTTCTGTTACTAATCTAGAACTACAATCCCATTTTTGTCACAGATATCCTACAACTCCTAAATGGGTCCTGGCATTCCTTTATTCCACCACTATTCAGTCTTAGCAGAAAAAAATCACTCAAAAAGTGATGGATATGGATAAGGGTGAATGCATTTGAAGACCCTGAAGTCTCAAGGATGGAAATCTTGAACATAAATGCTGCCCAGAGATGTGCTAAGGATTCTGAGACAGAAAAACACTTTACATAATGTATAGATCCTTAAAATATTTCATAGAGATGAAACCTACAAAATTTAGCAACTAGTTTGTTACAACATTCTGCACAGTAAGTCTTTAAAAAAGAGTAAACTTAGTAATTTCTTACCCTTGCTTAAACATAAACCTTTTAAAGGACTTACTTGTTGTATTATTTGGTGGTATCCACAAAGTATTGTCCTCAGCTTCCAACTACATAGTAATCTAAAATTTAATGGAATAAAATAATGTGTTAATTGTTCAGAATAGGAAAAAACTTACATGTATGCTAACAAAAACAGGCATGAGCATAGAAAAGAATGACAAACATAATTCTGAAAAGTTAATAAAAATTTTTACCACTTATAAAGTTCAAAGTCTTCAAACTTACAGTACTAATTTTATTTCAAAATATAAATAATTGCAATCAATAAATGACAGGCAAACAGTACATCTTTTTTTAAACATAGCAATGTTATCTACTGAACCAGATTCTGCTCCAAGTAGGTTAAATAGAACCAACAGTTTAGATCTTAATATACAGAACTTATATTTGAGAATATAAACACGTTGGTGATAGTTAATGTTCATCTATCTACTGGATCATCTCAGCTGTGCTCTCAACATTGTTAGGCAAGTAACTCTTCTAGGAAGAGATTTAACTTACCTAGAAGTAGGAGGCCTAAGTTTTCCCAGCATTGGCCACTCCTTTTCTTCAAAATAGTTTATACTGTTTACATTTCCTTTCCACCCACTCATCATCCACTATAAAACCCAATACACCTGTCTTGTGTCTACATAAAACCTAATCATTCCTAACATGATCCCTTTGCAACACTCAGCACTATTAACCACCCCTTCCTTAAGTCTCTCTTTGTTTGGCTTCAGTTTTTCCCATTACTTTTCTGATCAATCCTTAGTCTTCCTCCAAGGTCCTCTATATTTACCAGTCCTTTAAATGTGGTATACCCTCACTGGCTTTCTCTTTTCACCCCACACATGCAGCGCTGAAGTCTATCCGTACTCAGAGCCCCAAACCCCATGCCTACTGTGAATTCCACATGCATCTCCATTCCAAGTCTCACAGTGGAATTAACACACCAATACACTACTACCTACTAAATAGCCTCTCTTGATTATTTCACAACTGATATGTCTTAAAACAATTTCTCCATCAATTCCCTCTTCTCTAGCTTAGTGATCCAAGCCAGGAACTTGGAAAGCATCCTCCATTCCTCTTTCCCTCTTATTTCCCACTTCTAATCAATCACAAAATCCATCAATTCTACTTGTAAATGCCTCCGGAGTCTTCTTTACCCCCTACCACTAGAGATATTTAGCAGAAATGAGATTTGGGGTGCTACCTAAATTTCTAGTCTCATCTCTTGACATTCCTTGACAGGCTGTCTGTACTAATTCTACTTCTTTTGTATTCTACCTTTATACTTCAGTTCAATACTTGTTAGTGAAATTTACACAGTTGCTGTTTACTGCTTTATTTTTTTTAAAATATATTTTATTGATTTTTTACAGAGAGGAAGGGAGAGGGATAGAGAGTTAGAAACATCGATGAGAGAGAAACATCGACCAGCTGCCTCCTGCACACTCCCCACTGGGGATGTGCCCGCAACCAAGGTACATGCCCTTGAACGGAATTGAACCTGGGACCTTTCAGTCCGCAGGCCGACGCTCTATCCACTGAGCCAAACCGGTTTGGCTGTTTACTGCTTTAAATATAAAAGAAAATTAGAGAATTAATGTGTCACCTTTGAAAAGTACTTCAGCACCAGGGAAAATAATTTATAAATGCACAATGATCTGGGAAAATCAGAAATGACTAATAAGCATTTTAGGTGAAACTCTAATGACTGAAATCAGTTTATAGCAGATTAATTGACTAACCATTCCATAAAGATGCAAATATAGAACAAAATATATCACCTTGCATTCTTCAGCTGCAAATCTTCAGGCAACAATATTTTAAGATGGAAGTCTCTTCCCTGTGGAAAATATTGAAAAGGTTCAAATTTTCACCTTTCATTTAATGTTACGAGTTTCACTTAATTTTAGAATCATATAGAAAAGGCAATGCTTCCTTAATTTCTAAACGGTATAAACTTCATCCAAATGTTTATACCTATTAAAATATAAGCAACATAATATTGCATTTGAGGAAAAATAATTGGCCAAAACTTTGTAATTACTGGGAAATCAAACCACTAAAGTTGTTTTCAAAGAGACAGTCATTCACATAAACATAAGAGTTATAAGAAATTGTTAATGTAGACAAAGATTTTTAAATGTTATTTCTTGGGAAATAGATGTATGAAAAAGAAAATTCCTTCAAATTGCTTTGAATATAGAAGAAGTCATAATGTTGATAAGTAAAATAAGAATATGTAACACATTATAGGCATCATATTTCCAATGTTCTATATTTTATAAAATAAAAATATATTTAGTTAAATAATCTAAATATACAAACATCAGAGAAATATTTTCATAAATCAGAATGTATTTAATTCTCCCACATTTGCAGATAGTTAATTGCTAACATATTACATTACTTCTTTCAACTTACATATTCACTAGCTATACATTTGAATATATAAAATTTTACTCAAGAGTCTTTCTTTCTAAGGAAAAAGGGACTGTTCTCAGAAATTTATTCAGTTTTACTTTCTTGAGAAAGTGGATGAGTAAGCAGCTTAAACTTTGTAACTTAAATAGGATAATACACGTGAAATCTGAGCAAAGGTAGGCAGAAAAGGACAAACAGAATTATAATCTTTTACTCCAACACTATAAAATGAAAAAGAGTAATAAAATTCTCGAAAAACAATTACCACAAGAATTTTAGCACAGTCTCCCTCAAAGCAGTTTCAAAAATAGAGGAACACAATTAAATGTACCCCATAACCTTTACTTTCATGGTAATATTACAGTTCTGACTTTCATTACATTTAAATGTCGTTTAAAAAAATGAAACAAAATGTACTACTGACCTTTTCAAAAGGTCAAGTAACAATAATTCACTATTTCATTAAAGCACTAAAAGGTATTATGTAGTAACTTTAACCTAACTTTATAGACATCCCACACATAGGTGTAAGAACAATCTGGAATTCAAAATTTACATGAAAAATAGTAAAACTTCTCTCCTGCTCTGTTATCTGAAAGAATAAAATCCCAAAGTTCCTTATTTGCAAAATCCAGCCATTTTAAAAGGTCAAATGCCATGTCACATGCCATCATACGTTTCTGATTAAAGAAAATATCCAAATCAGCTTTTTTTTTTTCTTAATTGCTCTCAAAAAGCAGATTTTTCCAGGCTTAGAGGAAACAAAAGTACTGATAGTTGCCTAAATGCCAACCTCTCCACACATCCTCCCAAAACACTATATAGATCAATATTAAGAACAACAACAACAAAAGACAGAGAACACTAAATTTCAAATTACCTGCAGAAAAAAATATATAGATCACTTTCAGTTTTTTCCGATCTGGAACTCCAACAGCAACTCCTTTTAGACAGCTAGGGGGTTCAGAAAAAATGCATGGAAGAGAGAAGAGGGGACTGGACCAAGTACAAAATTAACCCTATATAATAAAACCCTAATATGCAAATCGACCGAACAACCGGTCACTATGATGCGCACTGACCATCAGGGGGCAGACGCTCAATGCAGGAGCTGCCCCCTGGTGGTCAGTGGGCGCCCACAGGGGGAGCGCCACTCAGCCAGAAGCCGGGCTCCCTGCTGGCAAGCGCAGCAGCGGTGGCAGGAGCCTCTCCTGCCTCTGCGGCAGCGCTAAGGACCCCCCAGGGGATGTCCGACTACTGGCTTAGGCCTGTTCCCGAGGGGCCCACACTGCGAGAGGGCACAGGCCGGGCTGAGGGAGCCCTCCACCCCCCCAGTGCACGAATGTCGTGCACCAGGCCGCTAGTAGGTTTACATTCCTCTAAAATATTGTTGGATGTGGTGTGGGGAAGCAGGAAGACATTTAGGGTGGGAGATTTGGTAGAGTACAAATTCCCTCCTACTGGTTTTAGTTAAGATGAATATATTCTATTCATTTATTATTATCCTTTTAATGAAGCATAATTAGAATCACTCATATCCCTTTTGTGCTAATGTATTGAGTTAGATTTGGGTTAGCTGACTTGAAACAAATACTAGTAATAAATAATCTGGTAGATCAAAGTATGGTAGAACACTGACTACAGGTAAGGGACTAAACATGAACACAAAAGGCAAGGGGTTCATCTTAGAAAAGAAATGTAGGAATAGAAGATGGTAAAAAAGCA